ATATTTACTCAAGTAGTCTCCCATCTAATTCTCCAATTTGTAATTAGAACTTTTTTTCTTTAAAGTAATGTCTACGCCTAATATGGGGCTTGAACTTACAACCTTGAGATCAAGAGTTGTGTGCTCTACGAATTCAGCCAGCCAGGTGACTGTAGAATTAGAACTTTTTGTGGGAAGAATTCCAGGCTATTCATTTCTATATTCCCCATGAAAGGCACATAATAAATAGCCATTCAGTGGAATAAATGAATATTGATGTTTAACTGCTGTAATAAATATCTCCCAACAATTCCGTAGCTTAATTTAATAAAAATCTCTTTGTTATTCACGTACAAATCTATTCCTCACCTAACTGTCCATTGTGGGTATCCCAGGTCAGTGGGAGCCTTCCCACTGTGATGATTCAGGACTCAGGCTCCTTCCACTATGTGGCCTGGCCATTCCCTCTGCGTTGAGCTGGCGTTTGGGAGAAGAGAGGAAGGAGTAGGTTTCTGACTTTTAAATGCCTTGGTCTAGAAGTGACACTCAATGCTTCCATTCACAGCCTTTGGCGAGTCACGTGACCCAATCTATATGCAGCAGGGGGGGCTGGGAAATGTAGTTCCTGGCTGGGCCTCGGCTGCCCAGCTGCAACTCTATACCATGAAGTGGCGAAAGAGACTTTTTAGTGGACAGTTAACTGTCTCCTTCACAGGAGGCCACAAAGTTTTATTGCTGAGGTTTTTCACTGCTTTGCTCTGTGAAGCTTTTTTTTGCTTGTGTTTGATGAATGGCTGTTTTCATGGCTGCCAAGAGCTATTGAGTAAGAATGTAACTGCAGACATTCATTTCCTTGCTGTGTTTGTCTGACAACTCACTGTCTCACAGCTGGAAAACTCATTACTCATGGGTACTTCTTTCCCAGGTACAAGAACATAAAGATGTATTTATTGAACTCTTTTCAGAGCAATGGCGATGAGCTATTAATCAAAAACTATACTCAAATATTAAGTGTAAATACTAGAGAAAATGCAAATATTAAAGACAACCTAAAAATACATACCAGTCAAGTATTTCATTTCACTCACTTTTTTTTTTTTTAATTTTTTTTCAACGTTTTTATTTATTTTTGGGACAGAGAGAGACAGAGCATGAACAGGGGAGGGGCAGAGAGAGAGGGAGACACAGAATCGGAAACAGGCTCCAGGCTCCGAGCCATCAGCCCAGAGCCCGACGCGGGGCTCGAACTCACGGACCGCGAGATCGTGACCTGGTTGAAGTCGGACGCTTAACCGACTGCGCCACCCAGGCGCCCCACATTTCACTCACTTTTTAATTGAAATATAATTCATATAACACAAGATTTCACACAACATAACATAAGAAGTCTCATTTTTAAAGTGTAAAATTCAGGGGTTTTAGTATACTCACAACGTTGTGCAACCATCACCACTATCCAATTCCAGAACATTTCCATCATTCCAAGAAGAAACCCTGTAACTGTTAGAAGTCACTCCCAGTTCCTGCCCCTCCCTCTCGCCCCCAGTGCCTGGCAACCGCTAATATACTTTCTGTCTCCATAGGTTTGTCTGTTGTGAACATTTCATGTAAATAGATTCGTACAACACGTGGCCTTTGTGTCAGTTTCTTTCATGCAGCATACCGTTTTCAAAGTTCATCCTTGTTGTAGCTCGTACGAATACTTCATTTCTTTTTGCAGCTGATTTAATATTTCATTGAATGGATATATTCCACTTTGTTTACACATCAATCTTTCATTTAAAGATTTTTAATTGTGGGGGCCTGGCTGGCTCAGTCCGTTAAGTGTCCGACTTTTGATTTTGGCTCAGGTCATGATCTCACCGGGCGTGGGATCAAGCCTCATGTCAGGCTGAGCGTGTGGGCCCTGCCTGGGATTCTCTATCTCCTTCTCTCTGTCCCTACCCTGTTTGCACACCGTCTCTCTCAAAATAAATAAATAAATAAATATTAAGGAATTTTAATTGTGGCCAGATACATATAAAATGTACCATCTTAACCATATTTTAAGTGTTCAGTTCAGCAGTATTAAAGTATGTTCACATCGTTTGTGCAGCCATCTCCAAACGCTTCTCGTCTTGCAAAATTGACAATCGATTTCCATTAAACAATAACACCCCACTCTCCCCTCCCTCCAGCCCCTGGCATTTGTATTCTACTCTCTGTCTCTATGAATTTGACTACTTTAGGGACCTTGTATAAGTGGAATTGTACAAACTTGTTGTTTTGTGGCTGGCTTATTTCACTTAGCATTCATGTCCTCAAGGTTCATTCATGTTGTAGCATGTGTCAGAATTTTCCTACTTTTTCAAGGCTGAATAATCATTTATTGTATATATATATATATATTTGCTTATCCCTGCATATTTTATCTGTGCATTCATTAATGGACACTTGGGTTACTTCTACATTCCTGGTTATTGTGAATAATGCTGCTATAAACATGGGCGCATAAATATCTCTTCGAGATCCTACTTTCAGTTCTCCTGGGTATATACTCAGAAGTGGCATTGCTGGATCATTTAATTTTTTGAGGATATGACATGTCGTTTCCCATAGAGGCTGCACTATTTACATTCCCAACAATGGTGCACAAAGAGTCCAGTTTCTCCACATCCTCACTAACACTTGTTATTTTCTCTGTTTTATTCATTTATTTAAAAATAAGCATACATTGAATACTTACTGTGCCAAAGCTCTATACTTGGCAGAAACTGGGGCTGCCAGGATTTTAAGTTTCAGTTTCTCTGCTCTCCCGAACAAAGCGGGGGGGGGGGGGGGGGG